CATATTTTTGTACCAAATTTTTGGTACAAAAATATGCATAAATCAGGTAGTAATCAGGCAGTAATCAGTTTAAAATCAGGTACCTGATTTGTGCCTGATTTTTTATCTTTTGACTTGTGTAACTCTATTTATATTCTGATTTTTCCTTCATATTCTAGTTCTTAAAATTTTTGCAACCAAGTTTTCCTTCTGGTACTTTTTTACTTCTATGTTTTCTTCTCTAAAAATTTCTTATTCATAAAACTTTCTTGTTTAATATTTTTTTTCTTTTTTTTTTAGCTAAAAATCTTGTAGAAATGCTACTTGTAATTTGTTAAAGGTGTGTATACTCTTTGGACTATGAGCTAATCTTTCAAGACAATTACCGATCTTCCACATCTGAGTGAGCTAGTATTTTCATATTTGTTATAATTGAATACAGACCTCAGTGGATAATTTTCCCTTTATCATTTTCTCTTTTTTTTCTCTTTCTTTTACTCTCATTTTTTAATTATATTATTTGAAAAAAGTATTCTTTTTCTAATGATCTTAGCTTTTTAGTTTTTTTAGATACCTCAAACCTTTCAAAATCAATCTGTTTCAGCTATAATCCAATGCCTTACAAACTAAGTCACAAGCTCGGTTGCAAGAATTCAACCCTAATGAGCCTGCATGTTGGGACCACGAATTCAACATGCAGCTTGGGCAAATGCAGCTGGAGTGGAATAATTTAATAGTCTAGGTCTTAAATGTAATGTCAGAGAATCAAGTACTGCAAATGGAGAATTGGGTGTTGCAGGGTAGGATTGAGGAGTTGGAAAATAGTTAGGTTTTACTTGAAAAAAGATAATTACTCTTTTTGTTATTGTTTTTTGTATCAATTTTACTCTTTTTAATAAATTTTTAAAATATTATATCTAATAAAATTATTGAATAAAATATTTTAAATAATAATAAAATAAAATAATAATCTATTGTTATTTTTGATATTTTCATCTAAATAAAAGTTTTTTTTTTTTTTTTTAAAGTTTAATTTTTTAAACTCTATACAAAATTTTAGTTTTCTATTTTTCTTTTTGACCAGAACAATAGGAGAGCTCCAAGGGCTTTCAGATTTTCAAATTATCTCATCCTTTTCTATTTGTTCAATTTCTTTTTCAATATGTTCTTGTTTCATAGGTAATGCTCTGTAAGCTTATTGTTTAATAGAGTAGGAATCACCAGTATAAATAGTATGATATACAACATTGGTTTTATGTAGTTTAGAAAATTCAGTAGCAAATATATTAGCATTATTAAGAAGTAATTAAATTATAGTTTGTTGTTATTGGTTATTAAAAGTATAGCCAATAAAAGTTGATTTATCTTCTGTAATAGAAATAGTTATTTTCTGATTTTCTTCTTGACTTTCTTTTATTTCTGTATAAGTCTAAATATATTATCTAGTTGATATTGGAGAGGATTATTAATATTCTCTATTTTGACATTGGCTATAAGTTGGTCCTCAAGTTGTGTAAAAGTATTACTAACTTGAATAGTAGTATATGTTGGTTTAGTTATATCTTCTTCCTCTAATTCTAACTCTAATTCTTGATTAGAGTAGATATTTTTAAAACATTATAAAATATAGTATTAGGATCCTTTATTCGTTGTTTGCAAGATATTGAAATATATTCAATTTGATAAGCAACTCCAATACTCATAACTTTACTATAATAATCAATAATAGCTTGAACTTTATTCAAATATTCATTGCCAAGAACTACATTATATTCTTTTGACTCAGTTACTAACATATCCATATATACAAGTTTAGCACCAAGTAAGACAAAAATATTTTTAACTTGTTCTAGAGTGTTGATTTGTTACTAGTAATGTTGACAACTCGAATATTATTTGGTTTATCAATACTACAATTTACTCAATTAAGAAAATGTTTAGCAACAATATATTCTTTAGAGTTAGTATTAACCAGAACATTAATAGTTACTCTTAAAATTTCAGCAGTTGTAAATAAAGTATCTTTTACTTGATCCATTTGAATATTATCATCTATATTGAAGTTACTGTAATTTCTCCTAAGTTTAATCCAAGTATTTTAACAACATCCTTAAAATCTATCCAGGGATCATTTAATTATTCATTAATTTTATTATAATTATTATTTTCCAAGTTAAGTTTATTATTAATTTCATCTCAAATTAATAAGATCTATTTTTTTATTAGATGAGAGGTTTGTGTTAGTGGTATGCTTACCTTTAGAAGATACCAATTCTAGTTTAAATGTTGATGCTAATTATTATTATTATTATTGTTGTTGTTATTGTTGTTATTGTTGTTATTGTTATTATTATTATTATTATTGTTGTTGTTGTTATTGTTGTTATTGTTATTATTATTATTATTATTGTTGTTGTTGTTATTGTTATTTGGGGAGGATTATTATTGTTATTGTTATTATTATTTTGACGATTGTTATTGTTGTTCCAGTTGTTGTTATTGTTATTGCGATTATTATTCCAATT